ACTGTCACATCTCCTGAAAATTCAGGAATTTGGAGGGCTGGTAATTTTGGTCTAGAACTCTTAATCGGCTCAGATGCTGATATATTAGGTTTAGAATCGTGTGACAGATTCAACTTTGTAATCTGTCTTTTTATATAACAATACAAATCTTCAAATGCCAGCCAAGCCTGATGGCTGGGCTGATGATTAGGTTTCAACCTTGTTTCTATAGCGTTTATAGATTCCAACGTACTTAAATAGTCGTTCCGTATAGAATCCAACGATTCAACTTTCGATAAAAACAATTCAATAGAAACATCGTCAACTAAATTTTTTGCAGAATTATAAATACTTTGAACCCGCTCGAAATAAGCTGACCTTCTTGAGATCAAATTGTTTAATTTAATTTCTAAGTCGGATAACGACATTTTGCTATAATTACTATATACCTACTATTAAAATTAACAATTGCGTAACAAAATTCGAGATTGTTCTATTGTAATACAAGTAGTAGTTTTATAACTACCTACAACTAATACGCGATAATTGAACTATTCATAAATGCATACGTAACAAACTGATGCGAAATGGAATAACTCGAAGTGATTTTATGATGGCTATAACGCGGTATGCGTGAAGTACCTACCTATTATGCTTATTTGAATTATACTACTAATTGCGGGGTGCAGCAGAAAGAACCAAATGGCTATATAATATCCGGCCGAAGTGGCCAAAAAATGGTGTATAAAATGCGCAAATGAAAAATGGAAAGTGGAAAGTGGAAAGTGGAAAGTGGAAAGTGGACTGTATATTTGATTTTTAGGATGAAAGGAGGCAAGGTACCTGGATTACTCGATGTCTTCCCGGAGGCCGGCCGTCCTTTCGTTCTTGTACGATGCTGCACCAGCACACTATGACACTTCACAACACACAAATATTGTCTATATGCAAAAATATACAAAATCAGTTTATATATTGTCCAAAATACTAATTTTAATGCGGATGAAAAAACTATGATAGCCACCGTTCGACGATCTCCGAATGACTACGTGCGCGACAGCCCGAGTCTCGCCGATCGGGCTCGAGCGAAACATCTCTGTCCTTTTCAGATTCCTTGCCAAGGAAAGAGATAGATGTGGAGAGGACGTTAGGAAAGGAAAATAGGTATACAGGCGCAAACAAACACTCTTACTCAAATTAGAATATTACGGTATTAGATATGAAGCACTATGCATGATGAAATCCTATCTAAATAATAGAATGCAAGTTGTTGAAATAAATGGTGTAAAGTCTGAGGGAACTAGTATTAAAATGGGTGTTCCTCAGGGCTCTATTCTAGGTCCTTTCTTATTTTTAGTTTACATAAACGATCTTCCTTATATGGTAGAAAAGATAGCTGACATAGTTCTGTTTGCTGATGATACTTCATTAGTATTCAAAGTCAATCGACATATTGATGATATGGACGATAAACGGTTCTCTCTCTTATGTTTTAAAATGGTTTACGGCAAATAATATGCTACTAAATGCAAATAAAACTAAATGTATCAAATTTACTCTCCCCAATGTAAGGCCGGTAGATTCAAAAATCGTATTGGACAATAAATCTATTAATTTTGTTGACGATACTGTATTTCTAGGTATCACATTAGATTCCAAGTTGCAATGGGGTGCTCATATTACTAAATTGGCGAGTCGACTTAGTTCTGCCGCTTACGCGGTAAGAAGAATTAGACAATTAACAGACGTGGCAACGGCTAAACTTGTCTATTTTAGCTATTTCCATAGCATTATGTCGTATGGTATTTTGTTATGGGGCAAAGCAGCTGATATAAATACAATATTTACTTTACAAAAGAGGGCCATTCGCTCCATTTATGGTATGGGTTCCAGGGAGTCATTGCGAGAGTGTTTTAAGGAATCAAATATCCTCACCGTTGCTTCTCAATACATTTATGAAAATATCATCTATGCCAGAAGGAATATAGACAGTTTCAAAAGAGTTAGTGATTGCACTAATAAAAGCTGTAACAATAACAAACTGATTTTACCTAAATGTCGTTTGGCTAAAGCGGTAATTCGTTTTATGTTGCGTAAGGTTTTACAATAAAATACCAGAGTCTGTTATAAATCTGCCAGAAAAAAGATTTAAATGTCAAATAAAACAGTTCCTTTGCAAAAAAAGCTTTACTATAAAATTGAAGAATTCGTTAACGATAATAATGTTTTTATAGAAAAACTTTAAATCTATAGCACTGACAATATTATCTGATTACATTAATAATGAGTGCGTAGCGACTTCTATGTTGATTATCGCATGCCTCTTACTTGTTATACTGTAATTATTTATATAAAAAAAAACATCTATTAAAAAGAGCAACACACAAGTTTCTTGCTCATTCTTCTTGTGATGAATCTGCATTCCGAATGAGTGGTAGAATCAAAATATGACTATTCAAAAGTGCTTGTAATGAGTTTATTTGAATAAAGATTATTTCTATTTCTATTTCTATTATTCAGGTCAGTTAGCTCATCGTGATAAATTTTCAGTGAATTTGTCACGATGAGCTAACTGACCTGACTTACTTATCTTATCATTCACCACTGATGCCCCGCCAGCGTAAACCGTTAGCGCAGACGCACCATTCCATTATCATAAATTATATATATATACATATATAGAAATTGACTCTGTGATCAGGGCACTGACATCGGCAATTTGCCACAGTAGTGCCTAGATACACCACCCTCTTTATACCATTACTAGCTTTTGCTCGCGGCTTTGCTCGCGTTAATTTATCCCTATCCTTAGGGGTGGAATTTATCAAAATCCTTTCTTAGCCTACGTCATAGTAGCTTTATGCAAAGTCTCAGCCCGATCGATTTAAATTTGACGAAGTTTCATACAAATTTTCATCCCCCATTTTATCGCCTTAGGGGTTGAATTTATCAAAATCCTTTCTTAGCGGATGCCTACGTCATAACATCTACCTGCATGCCAAATTTCAGCCCGATCCGTCCAGTGGTTGGGGCTGTGCGTTGATAGATCACTATGTCAGTCACCTTTGTGTTATATATATTTAGATTTGTGGTCGGCGCAGTATGCCATCATCTTCCACTGATCCCTTTCCGCCCATTTTACACTCAGCCCGAGTGGGCAGGGAAGTGAGCAGCGCGAGAGTGTAAACACGAGTGGAAACACTTCCCATGCCATTGTCGCTGCCACTCGCACTGCCCGGCGCTCCCTCGATTGTCGGTTTTTCGTGCGCGAGTCAAAGGACTGGCAGCGCGAGTGGCAGCGTGTTTTTACATTCAGCGTTCTCGCTCAGTTGTCGCCCGGCATTATTTCCGGCAGCGCGAGTAGCAGGGGAAGCGGCTGAATGTAAACGTAGCATAGCATCTGAGGACCTCATCTTATCATTATCAACAGATGCCTCCAGCGTATAAATGTAACTTTCCATTAACATAAATAAAAAAAAATTTGACAAACATAGATTAAGAACCCTAATAAACATAGATATACAATAAGGAAAATAAATAAGAATATTTCAACCCAACCACAACACTACATACAACATGTACAACATCTATACATATAAATAAAATTGGAGTGTCTGTTTGTAATATTGAAATAACCGTTTATTACTACATGCATATGAACATAAATACGGTACATACACCAAAAAAACACTTTTACAATTTTTGTCTGTCTGTCTGTCCGTCTGTTTGACTCGCTAATCTCTGAAATGGCTGGACCGATTTTAACGGAACTTTTTTGGCAGGTAGCTGTTGTAATAAGGAGTAACTTAAGCTACGTTTATTTTGAAAAAATCTTTTATTTTAGAAATATATAGTTAAATTCCACGCAGACGAAGTTGCGGGTACAGCTAGTTTCAATATATATACAAATGCGCTTTTTTATTACAAACAAACTCAGAAATCTATAAACAAGCTGTGCCCGTGACATCATGCGCTTGTACATTTAGAGTTCCATCTATTGATAACCAAACGACAACAATAAATAAAAGATTCAAGATGTCATCATCATCATCGTCATCATCATCATCGTCATCATCGCAGCCCGGAAGACGTCCACTGCTGAACAAAGGCCTCCCCCAAAGATCTCCACGACGATCGGTCCTGTGCTGCTCGCATCCAATGCCTTCCAGCGATCTTGATCAGATCGTCGGTCCACCTTGCTTCCCAGATCCAAGATGTATTGAAATTAATAAAATTAGTTATGTGTTGACAAGTTCAAGTGTATTTTTCTCAGATTTTTTTGGCCTATATACTTAGCGAATATTTTATTAACATTTTAATTTCTCCAGTCGTTTTCACTTCAAACAGACAATATTACATTGTTACGATTTTATTATATGCTAAAATCCAAAAGATACATTAAGTACATCTACAAATATGTTCGGTAAATAAATAACTTTTTTGCATATTGCACGTGCGTGTTAGCACACCTTGTTTACTGGGATGAGGGTGATGTTAGAACCCCTGTTTGTTCTCTACAAATACATATAAACTAGCTTTGCATGTGGTTTCACTCGGTGTTTCATTTAAAAAAAATCGGGGTCACTCTCGTCCGCAGACCCAGTGTATCATATCACCTACTAACTATATTACTTCTTTCTCAGATTTAGCTTAATTTCTTTTTCCTCTACTCCTAATGATTGCAGCTTGATATCTAAAAGCCTATAAACATTCTTTAGAATTATGCTATCAAATGTAAAAAGTTTTTTTCCAATCAGTCTGATAATTCCAGATATCAAAGCATTTCAACAAACAAATAGACTCTTCCAATTTATAGGTACACTTATATTAATATAGATATGTCCATGTCAGTTCATGATAATAATGTAAACACGCAAGGCGAGATAAATAACTTATAAATGACTCTTGTCAAGCTATTTTAAACTTTATCCATTCGAAAGAACTCTCATTTGACTATACACGTGGTCATAGGTCATTTACGATAAGACATCCATCGGAGACTATATAAAAGTAGTGAATCCAAAAATTTTAATTATTCGACCGCTGGAAATTCATTAAACACCGTCACTATGGCTAGAAACATAACAAATAAAGTAGTTGTGATTACTGGAGCAGCTGAAGGCCTAGGACTAGTAATGGCCGATAATTTTCTACAGAAAGGAGCAAAAACCGTTGTCATTTTGGATATCAATGAGAAATTGGGCACTGAAGCTGTACGCACACTTAATTCGAAATATGGAGATGGCAAAGCTGCTTTCTACAAATGTGATGTCATTACAGACTTGGAGACAATTTCGAAGAAACTTTTCGACGTATACAAAACTGTTGATGTTTTGATCAACAACGCTGGTATACTTAACGATTTTGCTGTGAAACAAACTATAAACATCAATGTTCTGGCTCTGATCGAGTGGTCTAACAAATTCTGGGAGAATATGAGGATAGACAAAGGAGGAAAGGGCGGTACTATAATAAATCTAGCCTCAATCTATGGTTTTAGAGTTGATCAGTACTTACCAGTTTATCAAGCTTCTAAATTTGCTGTGATGGGCTTCACAAGGTCCTTGGGGCATCCGTATAACTATGAAAGGTCTGGAGTTCGAGTAGTAGCTATCTGTCCAGGATTCACTGTTACGAAGTTGGTAACCGATGTAAAGGCCAGCAACGACCAACTTGTACAACGCGATTGGGAGGCATTCGTTAAAGGAAATCTTTGGCAAAAGCCTGAATCTGTGGGTAAAGCCACAATTGAGGTTTATGAAAGAGCTGATAGTGGAACCGCTTGGTTAACAGAAGGTGGAAAGCCGATTGTGGAAGTTCCGTATGTTGCATAATTTTTAAGATATGTTTATTGAAGAAAACTTAAATTTTATAATCTAATGATTTCTATATTGTTTTTGTGTTATATTTGATTAACTTCGTATCACTTTGTTACTTTAAGTGGACGACGAAATGTAAATAAATAAAATTAAAATTAAGACCAATCATCATCTGCTTCTTCCTTATCTCATTTATTTGTGGTCGGCGTTATATATTTTTCTCTTCCATTCATCTCTGTTCGCAGTCATCTCGTTATTTACTCCCTTTCGTACCATATCATCTTTCACACAGTCCATCCATCTCTTTCGGCCTTCCTCTGCCCTTATAACCATCCACATTCATATGTAATACCTTCCTTCAAATATTACCTTCAATCCTACGCTTTATACTATTATTAAAATTAAGACCAAATAAGAATATAATTAAATGATTGATCTTTAAATTATCTTCATTCTTTATACCTATACCTATTCTTATCCATACCTCTTGATTCATTTCTAAAGGCCTCGGTAGTCTAGCGGTGTAGACACCCTCACTTTTGATGGTCAAGGATTCGATTCCTCGCACAGTACAAACATTTGTAATCATGAGTATTACTGTTAATGTTACTTTGGGTGTTTCCTATGTATATTATGTGTGTTTACAAAAAAATATATGTAAGTATTTATATCAGTTGTCCAGTAGCTATAACACAAGCTCTGCTTAGTTTGGGACTAGATAGTAAACATACTGTCCTGCAAGCCAGGAACAGGTCTCGATAAAATTCAAATTCAAAAATCATTTATTCATGTAGGACATTTTATCCGCTTATAAACGTCAAGATTTTACATAGACTACGCGCACGTGATACTCTGGTGTTTCAGGCGTCCATAGGCTACGGTAACTATTTACCATCAGAAGGGCCGTATGCATGATTGCCACCATCGTAGTATAAAAAAAAACGATGAGCAATTTCCTCCCAGTTCAAAACTTTTAAAGCAGTTAAGATATATGTTTCATGAAGCTTACTGAAAGTCAAATTCGGTTCTGAGGGTCAGTTGACGAATAGCACACACTCGCAAACACGTACAAAATCGGTTAGTTCCTGATAGAGATATTGAGTGGATTACATATATAGTAGTAAATATAATTTACTTCGTTCTGATTGCAGTTGCACGTTACATACAAACTGTTACTTAGCAACAATACTTATTTTAAATGTGATGGATTATACTTTTTCTACTTCAATCAATGTGCCTAATACGGTCCCTTAATCCATTACATTTAAGACATTCTACATCTCTACATTTAAATAACATACATAATATAAAACAATATACAGAAGAGTAAACAATAGAACTACTAGCAAAAAACATATCCAAAATTAAATCTGTTAAAATACTAATAATTTCTGTTGGACCTATACTCGTTCTGATTGCAGTTGCACGTTACATACAAACTGTTACTTAGCAACAATACTTATTTTAAATGTGATGGATTATACTTTTTCTACTTCAATCAATGTGCCTAATAGTTCCTAGCTGGTCAAATTTCTATAATTTTATTGGTAAACCTATATGTTAAAGGTAAAAATAATCAGCTAACTGTAGCTTGTTAAGTCCCGCTGATTTAACATATACCTAATCTGTTTCCCATATTTTTTTGTGTCGTAGACCCCTTGCCACATTTTTCTGTTTTGGGTAGACCCCCATTCTTACCTGGTATTGTTTTTTTGTAAATTTCTAATTGTAGTAAAGTTTAGTGTTAAAAACATAAAGTAAAAACAACAAGATGACCACTGTCGTAGACCCTTGCAGTTTGTCATAGACTCTTGGGGGTTAATATAGACCACTTTCGGAATCCTCTGTTAAATGATAGCACTAACGGAGGAAAAAACAGCGATTTCGGCTGACTACAAAATTTCTTCCTTAACAATCGTAGAATTTTTCGACCGTTTGAAAATATTTGGTAAAATAAACCTCGGCTCGCGGACTATAATAACAAACACACAGGATGACTAATATCTGAACCCCTAACTAGATATCTATATTTGTCATGATACACCATTATCTTATTTGTTTTATTAATGACTAGCTGTACCCGCGACTTCGCCCGCGTGGAATTTAACTTTATTTTTCTAAAACAAAAGTAGCCTAAGTTTCTCTTTATTACATCAGCTACCTGCCAAAAAAGTCCCATCAAAATCGGTCCCGCCATTTCCAATACAAATGTTTTTGCCGTGCGAGGAATCGAACCCGCGACCATCGGACGTAAAGCGGTGTGCTAGACCGCTAGACCACTGTGGTCGATAAATAAAGTAATTAAAATATTTTTTTGTTCAGTTACCATGTCAACAATTTCGTTTATAAACTCTTTTAATATCAAAACAGAGTAAATAGAAACAATGTAAACATGTATACAATAACATGTAGGTAGGCACCAGTTATCAACTATGTTTTTCGCTATAATTATGCAGAATTTCTTAGGTTAAAAGTCAAATTAAATATAATTTATTGAAGATTGAGCTTATCATGTAACAAACATTCGGGGTAAGGTCGAACGGATCATGTTTTTAATTCACTAACTCATGAGATGAGAATATCTCAACCACCTTCAGTAAAGAGGTATTCAATTGCATTTTATTTTGTTATATGCATGTAATATGATATTTTCGTTAAACGCCTGTATTATGTACAAAATTCTTTGCTCATTATCCCACTACAACTTCGGTCACTGCGTGAGCGCGGTAGAGGGCACACCCGAGGGAGCACTGCATTCAGCATTCTGGAGACATTGAACGTAATGGCAGTAAACCTCCCCACGGGCCCACCCGTTCCGTCCCGACTACACTTTTACACACAATCACGACACCGTCCTCGCCGGCGAAGTCGACGACCCCAAACACACCATATCGCGCATTCAACCGGGCGCCTGCGCGCGCCCGGGCGCTTCACACCGGCGCCCCCGGTCGCCCCTCCGATCGATCCCCCGTCCAATTCAAACGGGGACCGATGTTACGACGGCCTAAGCCGAGGTTCGAACCCCTAAAGATGCCCTCAGACTAATGTAGTATCCGTCAGGCGGGAGTTGGCCTTCAGCCGCTCCATAAGTCCTTCCTTTGGTTTGGAGTGCCATCTGCACTCGCCATCTATCGTCCGGTGAAGCTGTAAAGGCCAGCTGCATATTAGAGTAGTCCGAAAAAAAAATGGAGACATTAAAGTCGACACATCTCTCAATAATTCGCCATTTATAGTCATTGGTACTCTATATCTCACGTGTTACAGATGGCAGATGGACTATTAAAGCTACAAAATGGAAAGGACCAAAGGGAAATAGGAAAGTTGGAAGACCAATAAGAAGGTGGGCTGATGATATTGTGGACTATATAGGAAAAGACTGGTTAGCTATAGGAAAAAATGAGACGAGAGAATATTGGAAAAAGATGGAGGAGTCCTTCACCCAAAGAGGGGTCCATATCCACAAATAGTATAATTGTAATTTTAATACTAACAAATAGATCATAAGGAAAAAAAAATACTACCTTTTTTTTTTTAAGTGTACGAACTTCTAGATGGTTATGGAAATAAAAGACTTTATTATTATTTTTAGTACTTTATATACGTTAGTATTGGTCACTTAAATTAGAATATATAACACACTAATTTATATTGATCATTTAAATTATACATTGTAATTGTGCCGATTTTGTTCGCCCAATTTACACTCAGCCCGAGTGGGCATGGAAGTGACCAGCACGACAGTGGTAACACTTCCCATGCCATTGTCGCTGCCACTCGCGCTGCCCGGCGCTCCCTCGATTATTGGTTTTTCGTGCGCGAGTCAAAGGACTGGCAGCGCGAGTGGCAGCGTGTTTTTACATTCAGCCCTCTCGCTCAGTTGTCGCCCGGCAATATTTCCGGCAGCGCGAGTGGCAGGGGAAGCGGCTGAATGTAAACGTAGCATAACATATAACATATAGATTGTAATGATTTAGCGGCGTGAGTAATAGGTACTGGTGATAAAAAAAATTAATATGTGTATTATCGTTTAATTATATATTTTTTTTAACAACAATAGCTTTTCTTTCTATTTTTCTTGATATAGAAATAGAAATAATCTTTATTCAAATAAACTCATTACAAGCACTTTTGAATAGTCATATTTTGATTCTACCACTCATTCGAAATGCAGATTCATCACAAGAAGAATGAGCAAGAAACTTGTGTTCTCTTTTTAATAGATATTTTTTATATAAATAATTACAGTATAACAAGTAAGAGGCAATCGATATTCAACATAGAAATCGCTACGCACTCATTATTAGTGTAACCAGATAATATTGTCAGATAGAAAAATGATATACCATAACAACTTTGTTGCCATATTCAGTAAAATAAAAATTACTCTATTATGATTTGGACCTTAAATACATACACATTATGGTATTGATTGATTTTACAGTTAATAATTCAGAGCAACTCTTTAATGATTTGTAATCAATATACAAAGTAAATATGACTCTGTTTGTGTGTAACTTGTGTGTAGGAGATTTCGTAAATTATAATGAAATCATGTTATTTCTATACATAAATATGTTTAACGAAAATATAAGGTTAATATTAGTAACAATGTTTGAATGAGGTTTGAAATCGATAATCAGACTGGATCTTACTCGTATGACTGACGACGTATGTTTGAATAATAATAATAATAAACTTTGCGAACAAACCTGATATCGTGGTGATGGATCGGGCACTCTCGAGGGTGTTTTTGGTGGGCATCACCATACCACATGACGAGAACCTCGTGAAAGCTGAAACTGAGAAAAAGAGAAAATATCTCGACCTGGCTCACGAGGTGACCGAAATGTGGGGGTGATGTCCACCGAAATCATTCCAATCGTTATGTCGGTGAACGGTCTTATCCCAACCAGTCTGGAACAACATCTCAGACGGTTGGGATTCCGAGGCGGCTCACTCCCGGGAAAGATGCAGAAAGCGGTCCTGTTAGATTCTGCCCGCATTGTACGCTGGTTTCTCTCCCTGGGGCTCTGAACCCCGGCCGACTGTGCTTCTGCCGGGGGTATGTTGCCATCTCCTCTCCTTAAGAGGGGAGATGAGAATTTTTGGAAAAAAAAAATTCTAAACACCTGTAGAATAGTCCGCAAGTTCTTGTTATCATAATCATTTCTTTTATAATTGTCATTGTTTGGTGATATTCACCCGCAATGACAATTTTAACACCCCATCAAAGGGAGATATATAATATATATATAAAAAACAATAATAATAATAAAGCATGGGAAACAAATACACCCAAGTCAATCTCACATACTTAGTTTAAATGTTAGTACTGTGCGAGGAATCGAACCTGCGATCATTAGAAGTAAGGCGGTGTGCTAATCGCTAGACCAATATATATAAGTATTTCTATAACTATACTACAGAACTA